CAAATCCACCACTTTCCTTTGCATCTGTTAATATTTTAAATTTTATTCTAGGCTTCTTGCCCTGCCAGACAAATCTAGAAATATCTCTCTGCCACCTCTTGAAACAGTCCATTTTGTCCACAATTTGCAATGTTTGAAACAAAAACAACATTCTAGGCAATACATTCATTTTTACCGCAGCAATACGACCCAGCAGTGAAAGCTTCAAATTTGACCAAATTTCTAAATCTTTTTCACTTCAGCCCAGCATTTTTCATAGTTGTCTTTAAATAAATTCCCATTTTTGCTGTCATGTTAATCCCCAGGTATTTAACTTTCTTAACCACTGTTAAACCTGTCTCATTCTGAAACCTCTCTCTCTCCATTGGTGTTAAATTTTTCTCTAAAACCTTGGTTTTTAACTTATTCAATTTAAATCCTGCAACTTGACCAAATTCTTGAATCAGTTCTAAAACCCTTTTGGTACTAAATTCTGGCTCCTGTAACGTCAATACTAAGTCATCTGCAAATGCTCTCAAATTGTACAGTTAGGCTCCGACATGTATACCTTTAACCAACTGGTCCCTTCTAATCATATTCAGCAAAACCTCCAGGACCGAAATAAAAAGCAATGGGGAGATTGGGCAACCTTGTCGTGTCCCTTTTTCTATCTTAAATTCTTCCGTCACCACATTATTTACAATTAATTTAGCCTTTTGTTCAGAATATATTGCACTTATACCGTTTTCAAAGCCTTGGCCTACCCCCATACCCTGTAAATTCTTCTTCATAAAACTCCAAGAAATGTTGTCAAAAGCTTTCTCCGCGTCCACAAATATTAAAACTGCCTTAGTATTTATATTCACTTGTAATTTTTCTAAAATATTGATTATGTTTCTCACATTGTCAGATAGATGTCTACCTGGGAGAAAGCCTGCTTGGTCTTTATGTATCTCTTCCACTAACACTCTTTTTAGTCTTTTAGCCAAAATATCTGCAAAAATTTTGTAATCCACATTGAGCAGTGATATGGGGCGGTAGTTCTTAAGCTGCGTCTTTTCAGTCTCTGTTTTCGGTACAAGTGTAATATATGCTTCTTTCCACGACTCTGGTGCCCTTTCCCCCTCCATTATTTTGTTGCAGACTTCTTTCAAAGGTTGTACTAACCATTCTTTTAAAGATCTGTAGTATCTAGAAGTCAGTCCATCCGGTCCTGGAGATTTACCCAATTGCATATTCTGAATGGCACCTTCTATCTCCTATTCATTTATTTTATAGTTCAACATTAATTTATTTTCTTGAGAGATTTTTTGTAATCCATTTGTTTTCAAAAATCGGTCTACGTCAATTTCTTTCTGTGGCCCTTGTGTATATAGTTGTTTAAAGTACCTCTGGAAACAATTTCTAATCTCAGCTGGGTTCTGTATATTCCTTCCTTCCACTTCTAAATTTGTAACTGTATTTAATTTTTGTCTTTTTTTCATTTGCCAAGCCAGCAATTTCCCACATTTATTAGCCGACTCGAATGTCTTTTGTCTCATTTGTTTAATTTTCCATTCTATCTCCTGATTCATCATTTTCATGTATTGCACTTGATGTAACTTTATTTCTCTCAAAATCTCTTGCGACTTTGGTTTTGCTCTCAATTTCTTTTCACTTTCCTTTATTTTCTCCAAAATTTTATCCTTCTTCTCATTTTGGATTCTCTTCTTTAATGCATTCTGTTGTATCAAGAACCCTCTCATAACAGCTTTACTTGCGTCCCAGATTACTCTTTTTCCACATTGGTGCTAATATTTATCTCAAAATAATCTCTCAAGGTTTTTTGGGCCTTCTTAAACACTTCTTCATCTCTAAATAAGGTGTCATTCATCCTCCATCTGAAGGAACCGGTTGGTGTTAGTTTCATTTCCATCTTAACAGCATTATGGTCGGAGCAGGTTTTTGGGCAGATTTCCACTTTTCTTGTCTTTGGTGCCATTCCTCTAGTTACCCATATTTGGTCAATTCTTGTCCATGTCATTTTGGCTTCAGAGAAGAAGGTTCCCTCTCTAGCCAAGGGGTTCTTTGTTCTCCAAATATCGACTAAGTCCAAGTTGTCTGTCATCTCAAAAAAGGTTTTCGGTAGTCTACCATCCTTAGTGACTACCTGTCTTTGTGCCTTGTCCATGTGTGTAGATACCACTCCATTCATGTCTCCCATCAAAATCACATTATAATCCAAATAGTCCATCAAGGTCTCATGCAACTTTTAAAAAAAAGTCAGATTTCCCCTCATTTGGTGCATAAACTCCTACTATCAAATTTTTTTCTCCTTGTGTTTGAATTTCAATTGCCACAAATCTTCCTTGGTCATCTTTGGAGATAAATTTTGGTAATAGTCTCTCCTTTGCATAAATCACTGCCCCTCTTTTTTTAACCTTGTCCGATGAAATGAACTCCTGACCCAGTCTTTTATTAATCAGTAGTTTCCTGTGTAGCCTTGTTACATGTGTTTCTTGTAAACAAATCAAGTCCAATTGTTCCTTTTTTAATAAATGAAACACAGATCTCCTTTTCTGAGGGGAGTTCAAACCATTACAATTCCAACTTAGTAGTTGCAGAACCATGATGTAGTTACTTTGCTTCTCCTCCAACTGCACCCAGTGCCTGTTCCTGATCTGTCGGTGGTATCCCCTTCTTCAGGCGGTCTTTTAGTTCAGGAGGTAAACCTGGTATGTCTAAAGTTTCACTTACAAGTGCTCTTAACTCTCCTGCAACTTCCTTCTGCAGGTCTTCTCCGTGGTCTCTCCAAAATTTATCTTTGTCGTCCTCTGATCTTATTTTTATCTTCTTGCCTTTGTAGCTAAAGGATAGGCCTTGGGGAATTCCCACCTAAAAATAATTCCGTTACTTCTCAACAGGGCAACCAAATCTCTATAATTGGACCTAAGGTCCAAAAGATACTTCGGAATATCCTTAAATATCTCCACTTTTGACTGATATATTTCCAAGGTCTTCTGGAAGTGCAGACTCAAGATTTTGTCTCTCTCCTCTTTTGTTCGGAGGGTGATCAAACAGTCTCTCACCCTGTTCCTCCTCCCTCCTCTTCCAAGCCTAAAGGCACTCACTATCTTGAAACTATCCTTCTCCAAATCCGAGTTCCAAAAGTCTGCAAATTCCTGCGTAAGAAAGTCAATCAAGTTGTCTTTCTCAAGTTCGGGTACAGCCCTAATCCTTAAATTCGTTTGTTTCTCCTTCAGCTCAATCATAGACAATATTGACCTGTGGTCTTCAAGTTGTTTGTGTAACGGTGGTATCTTCTCTTCTACAACAGTGTCTGTAGCAGTTGCTATTTCCTTTGCCTCTTCGGCTGTCTTTCGTGTCGAGGTGGATTCCTGTAGTAATTTCTGAATAGTTTCTGTATTGGTATTTACCTTCTGTCCCAAATTATTAATGCTTGTAGTGTTTTGGTCAATTTTGCCCGATGCCTCGGCTACTTGTTTACTTATTCTTTCCAAAGATTCGTTAATTTTACCTAGTGCCTGAGCCAAAGCATCTTCAGCTGCCATACCTTTGGGTTTAGGTTGTGCCAATGAGGTTGCTGTTGGTAAACCAGAAGGGCCAGATGTCGATGCTCTTTGTTGCAGCCCACCGTCTGTGCGAAATAGTCTGCCAGACCTCGTTGCTTGTAACAAATCTATCTTCTCCTTCCCATCTGCCATAATCCTCAAGATAAAACCCAAGGTCAATCTCACGATCAGAGTTTGTTTTGAAGTGGAAAATTCCCTTGGCCCAGCTGCTATTGTAACAATTTCAAACTTCCTCTAGGGGGACACAGTAGCAGTCAAAAATGTCTTAAAGTAATTAACTTTTTCCTTTCGCCCCCCAATTCACAAAAAGGACAACAGTTTCAATCTCAGTTGTTTCCTGTTACTTTAAAACCAGGAGAAGCCAGTCAGAAATATTGTATCTTACTTGTATCTCAGATGCAGAGTTAACTGTCAAAGAGTACTTTCAGCAACAGCGCATTTCACAATACGGCTTTCTTACTGTTCACTGGGAACCCGTACCAGGGTTTTAAGCGGTGGATTTTAGCTTCTTTTCCTCTCTTTTTTGCAGGGAAATACAGTTCAGACCTTTCCCCCCTCCTCCCCTGCAATCAAGGGGGGGAAATCGCTTGTTTGATGTTCAAATTATAATCCTTTTCCAACGTCTTTTAAGGTTTCCGCTTACAAGTTCATTGCTTTACTCCATTTACAAGAACGGAAGGCAGACTTCCTGTTTATGCCTCTCCGCTTCGGTGCCAAATAATTTGTAAAGTTCCTTTAGTTCCGAAATTAGCCTACTCACGGATCGTTATTTTGCAGCCAAATTGTCCCAGGTAAAAGGTAGCGCTCTCCGGTAACGGCTACGCGGCTTTGCTCCACGGAAGAAGCAGATGACTCACAGCACCGCGTCACTTCCCCGCTCCGCTCCGGAGCCCGTAGTCGGGCTCCTTTGCCAATTGGGGGGGCGCAAAAGGTGCCCGCCGAGTCCCACGGTCACAGGCTTCACCCGCCTGTGATTTTTGAAGGGTCCCCGCTTCGCCGTAGCGGTGCAGACCCGATTTCCGCAGAGCCGGTTCCCTCCAAGTCAGAGGGAATCCGCCATTACCGATGGCGCCACCCCGGAAGTCTATTTAGGGGCAGTTTACCTCTGGGTTGCATGGTGCCTTGTGTGCCTCCTTCTGGCAACACCTGCAGCCAAGTTGGTGCCAAACATATTGCTCTGCTTTTCTTTGGGCCACATCACCAGGGCCAAGAGGGGGGTCTTGCAGTCTGGGCAGCCCAGGACCTCCATACATGGAGGGAGGTCACTTTGGTGCTGGGGAGAATAAAAAACTGGGGATTGCTTCTGACTTCATCCCTTCTTGTCACCTTGTTGTGGGCATCTTGGGGGCTGCTGGAGGAGATAGGTTGATGGGCTATGTAGAACTTGCTCTCATCCCGCAAGGCCATTCTGATGAGACTGGACCTTATGTCAGGGAATGGAAACTTGTAGCCATATGAAGGACTGTGGCTTAGGGGTAGAGCATCTACTTTGTGTGCAGAAGGTCTCAGGTTTGATCCCCGGAATTTCCAGGCAGGGCTGGGAGAGAATCCTGCCTGAATTCCTGGAGAGCTGCTGCTGGACAATGTAGACTGTACTAAGGTAGCTGGACCAATGATTTGACTCAGTGTAAGGCAGCTTCCTATGTTTCAGATGTTGTTAGACTCCAGAAGTCTCATTCAGTTCTGCCAATGATCAGGGATAATGGGAGCTGTAGTCCAACAACCTCTGGAGCACCATAGGAACCCCCACCCCACCCACAACTTTTGCAATATTCTACCAGAAGGGTTTTGTGAAAAGCAGACAGAGAGGCAGTTCAGGAGAAAGGAGGGAATTTGGAAGAGGACTTTGAGATGGAAGTTAAAGAGGCAATGGAGCCCATGAGGCTGGGCAGGTGGGGTTTGGGGGGCGGGGAGAGAAGCTGGCAGCTAAGTGGATGCTAACATCCCACCTAAGATTTTTCTGGAAGAGCAGTTTCCTCTCCTTTTGCTGCAAAGCAAATCCCTGAAGATCCAATGAAGGTGAAAATTGGAAGCCTCTGTTTTGGCAGTAATCCCTCACCTCTAGTTAATTCCCAGTAATTGCATCATTTATTTAAATAAGGCTCAGAGCAGCGAGTGTAGCCAAAAAAAAAAAAAAAAGCTGGTGAGGCCAACCTTGCTCAGCCAGCCCCAAGTGTGTGTGTGTGTGGGCGCGCACGCACGCGCTTGTAAATAGCATCCTACAAGGAGCAATCAATATAGCTGGTGCAACAAAGCTGCCCCATCCCTGCACAGCTCTGGCACACACACCCTCTCCCTCATTTCTAATTATAGCAGCTACAGGCAGGCATCGCTGTTTCCCAACCCATACAGCTGGATCCATGCCAGGCCCAGAAACATGGGATCCATTTGATATGGCCGTGTTTTCTGTTTATAAGCCGTTGTTTGGCAGAACACAAAGCGCACCATCACTTTGTCCCTTGGCCTGGCATCGCTGGCTTTACACAGAGATGCCTTCAGCCAAACAAAAGGAAGGACGCAGATCCACCTGGGCGGCTCCTGGCAGCAGATGGTGGAGGATAAGGAGGAACGAGAACAGGAGGGAGGGAGGGAACTCCCAGCACTAGTGCTAAACTGCACTCTTGGTAGGTTAAGCAGAGGACATGGCCCAGTGCCTCCGCTCCTTGCTTCTTAGGCCAAGAGTTGGCTCCAGGCCTTGGGGCAGTTTTGCTATTATTTATATCTCAGAGGCGTGTGCCACCGGAGATGAACAAATCATGCATCTGATGCTCAAAAGAAGCGACAGCAGGAACAGACCCCATGTGCTTGCAGTCACAGGACTAAGAAGATGCATTAAGCGATTCCTTAATCAGGGGTCAGAGGCCACCAGTCCAAGTTATGAGAGCCTCCTGGCTGTTGCTGTGATCGCTGTGAGGAACAGGGGCACTGGCTGAAACCTAGCAAGGGTCAGAGGGGCTTGCTGAAGACAGCTGCATCCTTTGGGCTACGGGGTCACTGGAGGGAAGAGCTGTTGTGAAAGATAGAGAAGTGCAAATAGAATGAGCACACCATGCAGTGGATTGACCCTGTTGTTTATCCTGAATGTCTCTGCAGCTCTCAGTACCAACCATGATAACCTTTCGGAGGAGGTGTCACAGTTGTATGCTGCAGCTTTTGACTTTCCATTCCAGAATGGATCTTGGCTCTCTTGCAGGGTTCTGCTTTATCTCCCGCCCTCTGAGTTGTTTCACATCTACCTGACTCTGCTGAGTGAGCTTGTCTGAAGATTTAGAGGGAGTTGCCTTCAATAGGCAGCACAGAAACACCTGAAACTGCATTGTACTGCCAAAGGCCATTGGTCTATGCATCTCTGCATCATCAGCACTGCACCATCCTTGTTTAGGACTTTGTGGGACAGAACCAGTGCCTGGAAATGGACTGGAAGCCCCTGTCATTGCCGAGCCAAGCTGTGCATATGTCACTCTTTTTCTCTCACTCTCATCAATCAATCCTTTGGGTAGTTCATCACTAATACTGCTCTTCTATGAACTCCCACCAGTAACTTTGCAGGCATCTGTTGGGTATTGGTTTTTCTTTGCTTTAAAATCAGAGCCGCTGCAGGCACCCTGATAAATGGATTGAAACAGACTGCCTGATGTCACCCTCGCTACTGTACAGCGCTGGTATACATCTTCTCTTCTGAACATTTAAATGCTGCTGTCTGTCATGACACCCTTCACTAAATCTCAGCGCACATCTCCTGCCACATGCCTAGCATGTGGTCTCCATTTTCTCTTTCCCTGCAGTGCGAGTAGCTCAGCATTGTTTCAGGAAGCTGTGCTCACCAATCCTGTAATGCAAGGACCAGAAAGCTCCATGTGGGACAAGGCGGACCAGACAAGATGCCTCCTGGGAGAGAAACAGAGAGAGAGAGAGCCAAGTTTGTGTCACTGAGCATGGCTCATTGCAAAATGCAAATCGGGAGTAAGGGCTTTGGTTGGAGAACTTCTGACAGCCCGGGAGCCATTAGCAAACATGCTCCAGTTTGCTGGCCAGAGAAGCACACAGGACTTATTAGCCTCTTCCACAAGATCAGTGGAGAAGGTGACAAGGCTGCACATTTGCCTGACCACAAGAAATAGGAATAGATTTCTAGGGAAAGCATTTATAGCTCTGACTGAACACAGGCTGCAATTCTATGCACACTTTTCTGGGAGTAAACACCATTGAACACAATGGGACTTACTTGTAAGTAAAGATGCATATGATTATACTGACAGTATGCCAAGAAGGCCACATTGCGCCATGATTACTGGAGTAAAAGACTGACCAAGGTCTGAGGCTTATGACTATGGGTATGCATGCAATAGCTGTGTCTGTGAGGCAGAGGCAATGTTCAGGATGGCCTCTGTCACACAGCAAGGCAGTTGTGGGCACCTACTATGGGGAAGCACATATAATTATGGCACTGCACCACAAACTCAGTTATCCATGTGTTTGCATTGCAGTGGATGCCTGCAAATAGTTCACCAAGGGCTGAACCTGCACAGATTTTCCCAGCCCTTCCGTCACAGCTCCTGTGCATCTCAGTGCTTGTGCAGTTCAGCTCCTAGATGTTCCGCAGGCAGCTCTGCTCAGTTTGTTAATGGCCAAAAGAACTCTGTGCCCTCTTCCAGCTGCATCAAAGAACCCATCAAGCTTGATTGCCAGGCACAAAAATGTTAGCCAGCTGCGAGAAGGGCGGCTGACCTTCAGGCATGTGTAGGATCAGCAAAAAAAAAAGCAGCACCCGGTTTTTGCACAAGAAAGGCACACTGAGTAGAAACCAGCCCCACCCAAACAGGAATAACCCTTCCCATTCATTTTGGAGAGGATCTAAAAGCCAGTGGCGTGGTCCCTTAGAAAAATGAATGCTTTGCCTGGGCTTTAAGTCTTTTGAATCCATTATGGATTCATATGATAGAATCACAGAGTTTGAGGGGGTCATATAAGTGATGCAGGGAATCCAGAGCTAGAGGAGCATCTCCAGCCATAGTGGTGAGGAGGAATGAATGAATGTCCCTCAAAGTATCTGCTTTATATACATTATTTACACAATGGGCTGCACATGATTGGTTAATTCTGGAATTCTACTGTAAGCCAATCAGGTTGTGGATTCACTTATATCTGGAGCATGATTGGGTGGTTCCTGCCAACCAATCATACTGCTGCATTGTTCTTGGACCAATCAGACTGCTGCATTCTGAATCCTATTGTTCTAGGACCAATCAGACTGCTGCAATTTGGATCCTATTGTTCTAGGACTGCTGCAGTTTGGATCCTATTCAACTCAGTACATAACACCCCCCCCTCTAAGTTCCAGTCCTGCCCGGGAGGTCGCATTCATAGTCCTCGAGGTACGCCGGCGGCCTACGTGTGCGTTGCGGCCTGTGGTGTTCAGGTTCTGGCTCGTGTTCCAAGGATGCTGGCTGTGATGGGCCTGTTTGGTCTGGCGCAACCGGCTCGCTCAGTCGTGGTTCTGGTTCCGGTGTCCTTTCGGCCTCGCGGGTCCTCTCTGTATTTACTGATTCTGCCTCTCCTGCTGGCCCCTCCTGCTCTATGGGCCTCACTGCCCCTCTGTTCCCTTGGGACTCCTCAGACCTTTCCTCCTCCTGGTTTTCTCCTGGGAATCGTCGCCGTATCTGGTCGCAGTGGCGGCGCCAGCATTGCCCCCCATCCGTTAGCACCTCGTACGACACGGGGCCAGTGACCCTGGTGACTGTGGCGGGTACCCATGCTGGGCCTGCCCCAAAATTCTTTGCGTACACTGGGTCCTGGGCCTCGAAGGTCCGGGAGTTCCTGCCATCCCCACCACTACCTCATCCTGAGCTCTATCGGGGTGAAGGCGGTCCAATCTGATTGCAAGGCGCCGACCCATTAGTAGTTCAGCGGGGCTCCGGCCAGTCGTTGAGCTGGGGGTGCTGTGCTGTGCTAGGAGGAATGTGGCAAGGCGGTACTCCCAATCCCCTTGCGTCATGCGGCGAAGGGTGTCCTTGGTGGTCCGCACCATGCGTTCTGCTTGGCCATTGGTGGCAGGGTGGAATGGCGCCGAACGGATGTGGCGGATGGCGTTCTGCGCTGTGAAGGTTTGGAATTCTCCTGACGTAAATGCAGTCCCGTTGTCTGAGACGAGAGTGTCAGGGAGCCCGTGGGTTGCAAACAGCCTGCGTAGTACCCGGATGGCTGCGGATGTAGAAGTGGACGGTACCAGTGCGACTTCCAGCCATTTGGTGTAGGAGTCCACCACTATGAAGAATGTTTTTCCCTGAAAGGGGCCAGCGAAGTCCACATGCAGGCGTGACCATGGTGCTCGGGCGGACTCCCAGGACTGGACTGGGGCCCTTGGGGGATCTGGGCGGGATTCTTGGCAGGCCTGGCAGTGTTTGACCCAGGCCTCTATCTCTCCGTCGATCCCTGGCCACCACACATAACTCCTGGCAAGGGCCTTCATTCTTACTACCCCTGGGTGTGTCTCGTGTAGGGCTGTGAGGACCCTTTGCGGAGGGGCTGGGGAAC